TCTGGCCTGATTTCTGTTGGCCAATCACAGCTCTGGATCCCAGTCAGCTGACTCTCATTGTTCAGTGAAATGTTCTTCTCTGATATTACCGAATTTCACATCGTAAAAGATCAAACAGGTTTTCATCTTTTACGATTCTCTGATCAGGGAAACTCCGAACATTACTCTCTGAACATCTATTTTATATTGCATTAAAGTACATATTTCTTCTTCTGATTAATTTCCTAGGCTGTTTGCCAGAGGTGGGAAGTAACTAAGTACATTTACTCAAGTATTTAAGTAACATTTTGAGGTACTTGTACTTTCCATGTTCTTCTACGTTGTACTTCTACTCCTCTACAGTTCAGAGGTACATGGTGTACTTCTACTCCACTGCATGTATTTAATCCCTTTAGTTACTTCACAGATGTGGATGAATGATGTGAAATATAATCAAGTGTTAAATCAGACTTTAGTTCCACCTGGAGTAAATGAATAATCTGAGATGCACTACAACAAATAATCTCATGATAAATCAACGCACGTGTCCTGAGCTGGTGTTAATGACAATAAATCAGCTGGGCACCAAATCAGTGGCATCCCGAGTGGCAAGGGTCTTCTTTTTATTAGAACTGATAAGGTGGTGCCGTTACTATCGCTCCACTCTTCTGTGATTGTTGTCCTTTTAAGGTGTTCAATAATCACGTTGTTAATGAAAGTGTCGACACACCTCTCTGCCTCTGGCATACTGGTCATACTGCACTGCTGATGAGTCACAGGTCAGTCAGGTGATCAGGAGGAGAGACACAGTCAGGTGATCAGGAGGAGAGACACAGGTATGCATGGAGAGAAGGGAACAGCACCTCCGTCTGCATTCCTCTCTTTTCAGTCCATCTTAATATTCACATGTTATACACAGCAGAGGAGTAGAAGTACTCAGGTCTAGTACTTGGGTAAAAGTAGAAGTACTCAGGTCTAGTACTTGGGTAAAAGTAGAAGTACTCAGGTCTAGTACTTGGGTAAAAGTAGAAGTACTCAGGTCTAGTACTTGGGTAAAAGTAGAAGTACTCAGGTCTAGTACTTGGGTAAAAGTAGAAGTACTCAGGTCTAGTACTTGGGTAAAAGTAGAAGTACTCAGGTCTAGTACTTGGGTAAAAGTAGAAGTACTCAGGTCTAGTACTTGGGTAAAAGTAGAAGTACTCAGGTCTAGTACTTGGGTAAAAGTAGAAGTACTCAGGTCTAGTACTTGGGTAAAAGTAGAAGTACTCAGATCTTGTGCTTGAGTAAAAGTAGAAGTACTTAGATCTAGTACTTGGGTAAAAGTAGAAGTACTCAGATCTTGTGCTTGAGTAAAAGTAGAAGTACTCAGATCTTGTGCTTGAGTAAAAGTAGAAGTACTCAGATCTTGTGCTTGGGTAAAAGTAGAAGTACTCAGATCTTGTACTTGGGTAAAAGTAGAAGTACTCAGATCTTGTGCTTGAGTAAAAGTAGAAGTACTCAGATATTGTACTTGGGTAAAAGTAGAAGTACTCAGATCTTGTGCTTGAGTAAAAGTAGAAGTACTCAGATCTTGTGCTTGAGTAAAAGTAGAAGTACTCAGATCTTGTGCTTGAGTAAAAGTAGAAGTACTCAGATCTTGTGCTTGAGTAAAAGTAGAAGTACTCAGATCTAGTACTTGGGTAGAAGTAGAAGTACTCAGATCTTGTTCTTGAGTAAAAGTAGAAGTACTCAGATCTTGTGCTTGAGTAAAAGTAGAAGTACTCAGATCTTGTGCTTGAGTAAAAGTAGAAGTACTCAGGTCTTGTTCTTGTGTAAAAGTAGAAGTACTCAGGTCTAGTACTTGAGTAAAAGTAGAAGTACTCAGGTCTTGTTCTTCAGTAAAAGTAGAAGTACTCAGGTCTTGTTCTTCAGTAAAAGTAGAAGTCAGATCTTGTACTTAGTCAAAGTAGAAGTACTCAGGTCTTGTACTTCAGTAAAAGTAGAAGTACTCAGATCTTGTACTTGAGTAAAAGTAGAAGTTCTCAGATCTTGTACTTGAGTAAAAGTAGAAGTACTCAGATCTTGTTCTTGAGTAAAAGTAGAAGTACTCAGATCTTGTGCTTGAGTAAACGTAGAAGTACTCAGATCTTGTGCTTGAGTAAAAGTAGAAGTACTCAGATCTTGTACTTGAGTAAAAGTAGAAGTACTCAGATCTTGTGCTTGGGTAAAATTAGAAGTACTCAGATCTTGTACTTGGGTAAAAGTAGAAGTACTCAGATCTTGTGCTTGAGTAAAAGTAGAAGTACTCAGATATTGTACTTGGGTAAAAGTAGAAGTACTCAGATCTTGTACTTGGGTAAAAGTAGAAGTACTCAGATATTGTACTTGGGTAAAATTAGAAGTACTCAGATCTTGTACTTGGGTAAAAGTAGAAGTACTCAGATCTTGTGCTTGAGTAAAAGTAGAAGTACTCAGATATTGTACTTGGGTAAAAGTAGAAGTACTCAGATCTTGTACTTGAGTAAAAGTAGAAGTACTCAGATCGTGTTCTTGAGTAAAAGTAGAAGTACTCAGATCTTGTGCTTGAGTAAAAGTAGAAGTACTCAGATCTTGTGCTTGGGTAAAAGTAGAAGTACTCAGATCTTGTTCTTGAGTAAAAGTAGAAGTACTCAGATCTTGTTCTTGAGTAAAAGTAGAAGTACTCAGATCTTGTACTTAGTAAAAGTAGAAGTACTCAGATCTTGTACTTGGGTAAAAGTAGAAGTACTCAGATCTCTCCTCTAAAACAATGCATTAGTGTTTGATGAACGTTAAATAAACAGAGTGATCGTAGAGACCCTTGAACACATCTTCCCTCTCTGAGCAGCACGAGTGAAGATTATATTTCATCTGAATCTTGACCTCTCTGAGACGGAAAGCGTTCGCTCTGAAGGCTGAACTCCTGTCTTATCTTAGAGAAAGGTCCCTCCTCCCTGCTCCCTTATCAGCAGCCCAGCAGCACGTTTGTCATGTTGTGTATCTTTGTAGTCATGTTACGACTTTTAACATCAAGTTGTTGTTTGTCATTTTGCATATATCTGTGTTCATTTGGTCCATTTGTGATTGGTTTGCCTGTTTCAAACTCTCTGTGTTTCTGTAAAGCTGCTTCACATCGGTTTGTAGTCTTTTAGTGTCTCATTGTAATCACTTCTGAGTCTTTGTGTGTCTCTTGTTCAATCTTTCTGTGGTCAAATTATGTATTTTTACATGTCTTTGTTGTTGTTTTGTCATCATTTAAATTCTCTGTTCAGTCATACCATATATTCTAAAGTCTTTGTGGTCCTTTTGTGTGAACATGTCTCTTTTAGGCCTGGTTAGCCCTTTTAATAAGCTCCTACTGAAACTCTAAATCCTGCCCAGTATCTTAATATCTAGTCAGAATACGTCTTCACCTGATATCAGACTCAATCACTTCAGAACACTGCAGTGAGATACAGGCTCTTGTTTTTAGACAATGCCTCATCTTGTTAAGTCAAAACATCTGATTTTGAGTTGTATCTCAGATGAAACACATATTTCTTTACATATTTATTGGAAAGTCACCAACTAACATCAGAACACAGAAAACTTGTGAGTATTAGCGGATCATTTTGTAACACAACATCTCCTGATTCTGGTCACATACAGTTCTCCTGCTAATTATAAGATGTGATTTATCTAAATATCCCTTCTTATTTCAAGAAATCTCACCAAGCTAATTGTCACTTGTTCTATTGGCAGATTTTTGTACTTATTTCAAGTGAAAACGGCTTGATGTCATTATTGTTGAACTTCATTAGGAGCAGCATTTGTTCCAGTGAAGTTAGCTTAGCACCAACAGACTCCATATTTCCCCCTCATCATATCTTCTCTGACGGACACATGTTCCTCTTCCTGTCGGCTGCATATCTGAGTGCTGCAGAAACAGCTCTTCAGATAAAATAAACTGACAAACCGAAGAGAACGAGGTTAAAAACAGAGAAGCTGTTGGACTGTGAGGAGAGACGTGTGGAAAACATGAACATACAAGCAAGGCCTTTTAAACACTTTGATTAAGTTATTGGTCATTATTGAGTTACATGTTCAGAATGATTGAGTTACATGTTCAGACCTCATCTAAACTCAAGTACATTTACTCAAGTACAATATCTGAGTACTTATATTTACTCAAGTACAAGACCTGAGTACTTCTATACTTTTACTCAAGTACAAGATCTGAGTACTTCTACTTTTACTAAAGTACAAGATCTAAGTATTTCTACCTTTACTCAAGTACAAGATCTGAGTACTTATATTTACTCAAGTACAAGACCTGAGTACTTCTACTTTTACTCAAGTACAAGATCTGAGTACTTTTACTTTACTCAAGTACAAGATCTGAGTACTTCTACTTTAACTCAAGATCTGAATACTTCTACTTTAACTCAAGATCTGAATACTTCTACTTGAACTCAAGATCTGAATACTTCTACTTTTACTCAAGTACAAGATCTGAGTACTTATATTTACTCAAGTACAAGACGTGAGTACTTCTACTTTTACTCAGGTACAAGATCTGAGTACTTTTACTTTAACTCAAGATCTGAATACTTATATTTACTCAAGTACAAGACGTGAGTACTTCTACTTTTCTCAAGTACAAGATCTGAGTACTTCTACTTTAACTCAAGATCTGAATACTTCTACTTGAACTCAAGATCTGAATACTTCTACTTTAACTCAAGTACAAGATCTGAGTACTTCTACTTTTACTCAAGTACATGATCTGAGTACTTCTACGTTTACTCAAGTACACAACCTGAGTACTTCTACTTGAACTCAAGATCTGAATACTTCTACTTTTACTCAAGTACAAGATCTGAGAAACTTCTACTTTTACTCAAGTACAAGACCTGAGTACTTCTACTTTTACAACAATATCTGAGTACTTCTACTTTTACTCAAGTACAAGATCTATAAATAAATAATGATCAGGAGGCCCCGCCCACATGTGTACGTAAGCCTTACGTCAGCGCCATCTCACCTGAGAGCCGAGGCGCGCTCACTCTCCTGTCAGAACGTTTTTCCAACAACACACTTTCACCTTTTTGGATCGAGCTCCGTGGATCCTGAAACTTTCACTGAGTCATGACGCCGTCCGGATTATATCTGGTGAGTTTCATAAAGTCATTAAAGCGCTTCTCTGCTGGGAGGAAAGCGGTTCCTCAACATTTTAAAAAGATGTCTCAACGGTTGTGTTTTGATCACTTGGTTAACTTTCACACAAGGGAGTTTTTTTTACGTGTTGTGACGGTGTTTTAACATCAATTAAACTGGCATTTATTTAACCTGTACCTTTTAGTTTTTACGTCGAAATCCTACTTTTATTTGGGGTTTTAACGTGGTGTCTATGACGGGTTTTTGTCACGTTTATCTGTCAAAGTCCGTGTGTGTTTGAGGCCAGGTGCGAAATTCCTTATTCTACAAAACACAGGACAGTGAGCTGCTCTAAGATCGACCATTTCAGGCTTAATTAACAATTAGATATCACTAAATTAAATGTTTATCCCCTACTTTATGCGCGTTGGCTGTCATCCCTAGTGTGTGGCCCGAAACTCCATTAAAGAAAGCGTCAATTAAAGGTAATTTATTGGAGAAAGTATAGTTTATGACCTGTTAGTAATCCGTCTTCAATTCGGCGCTATTTAAATCAGCTATTCTAATTTAAAATGTTAGTTTATATGTGACACATTTCCCTCAATAAAAGCCTGGTGTGTCGCTCCAAACTCCATTTAAAAAAGCGTCAATTTAAAGTACTTTTACAAATTGACTCCATTATTTTAGGTTAAATTATTTATTAAAGTGTGGTTTATGATGATTTACTAATATCTCTTCAATTCGGCGCTTTATAAATACCCTTTACTCATTTAAATGTGTAGTTTAATGAGACTTAATAGCAATACAATCCTGGTATGTCGATCCAATCTCCATGTAAGGAAGCGTCAATTTAAAGTTATGTTACAAATTGCCTGGTGTAGTTATACTTTATTCCGTGGTAAACTATATTGTATTGATTGTAAGTAGTCTTTCTTCAATTCGGCGCTATATTAGTGCAATTCTGTCTTTTAAAATGTTACTTTAATGTGACTTTTACCTCAATAAAATCCCAGTATGGCGCCAATCTCCATTTAAGAAAGCGTCAATTTAAAGTGCTCTTACAAATTACCTTGCATATTTAAGATCCTGTTTTAGTTAAAGTGTATTTTAATAATTATAAGTTCTCTGTCTTAAATTCGGCGTTATATTAATCCGCTTTACTCTTTTTAAATGTTACTTTTAATGTGACTTTTACCTCAAAATAAAATCCCAGTATGCCACCAAACTCCATTGAACAATACCTGAGTACTTCTACTTTTACTCAAGTACAAGATCTGAGTACTTCTACTTTTACTCAAGTACAATACCTGAGTCCTTCTACTTTTACTCAAGTACAAGACCTGAGTACTTCTACTTTTACTCAAGTACAAGATCTGAGTACTTCTACTTTTACTCAAGTACAAGATCTGAGTACAAAATAAAATCCCAGTATGGCACCAAACTCCATTTTAAGTGTTGACTCGAGTATTTTAGATACATTCTGCACTATATAATCAGCTTTATTACTTTTAAACTTTAGCTAACGTGACTTTCTCTGCATCTTATGGGTCATGTTGGGTCCTCTGCATCACTCTGTGGTTTATAAGAAAAGCCTTAATCCTTACTGACTGTCCTGTTTTAATTTATAATGTTTTGTAGATGATTCTTAAATCTCGTTGAATTGTCGAGCACCTTGAGGTGACGTTGTTTTTATGATTTGTTACTAATGTCTCTTTGATTCTTTGCTTTATGAATCAGCTTCACTCGTTAATACTTCACCTAGCATGTGATTTGTTTGGCACCTTTCCTCCTGAGTGAGGTGAGGCCATGTGACTTCTCTCTGTTTGTTTAGAAAGGCAGGGCAGGGTGTGTGCAGCAGGGATTCCTTACTTCCTTATTTGGTCATTTCCAGAGGTGGGAAGTAACTAAGTACATTTACTCAAGTACTATACTTAAGGACAAGTATTGAGTATTTCCATTTGATGCTACTGTGTACTTTTACTCCACTACATGTATTTAATACCTTTAGTTACTTTACAGATGTGGATGAATGATGTGAAATATAATCAAGTGTTAAATCAGACTTTAGTTCCACCTGGAGTAAATCCACAAGCTACCCTGCAGTATACAAAGTCATTCAAACTAGCTGCACCTTTACCAGCTTTGAGAACACTTTCATGATCAATCATTATAAAACATATCATATATATTATTCTGAAATGGACCAATCTGCACAATGACTACTTTTACTGTCGCTACTTTCACTATATTTTGATGAGAATACTTTTATACTTTCACTTGAGGAACATTTTGAATGCAGGACTTTTACTGTAACAGAGTATTCCTACACTCTGGTACTTCTACTTTTACTCAAGTACATGATCTGAGTACTTCTACTTTTACTCAAGTACAAGATCTGAGTACTTCTACTTTTACTCAAGTACAAGATCTGAGTACTTCTACTTTTACTGAAGTACAAGACATGAGTACTTCTACTTTTACTCAAGTACAAGATCTGAGTACTTCTACTTTTACTGAAGTACAAGACCTGAGTACTTCTAATTTTACTCAAGTACAAGATCTGAGTACTTCTACTTTTACTAAGTACAAGATCTGAGTACTTCTACTTTTACTGAAGTACAAGACCTGAGTACTTCTAATTTTACTCAAGTACAAGATCTGAGTACTTCTACTTTTACTCAAGTACAAGACCTGAGTACTTCTACTTTTACTCAAGTACCACATTTTATTTCTACTTTTGCACTAAAAGTACAATACAAATATTTTAAATATACATGAAAAGTAAAAAATAATATTTATAAATACACAAGAAGTTATAGAAAAATATGTGTTAAATAATAACAAAATATATACAAATATTATATTATATATATATATAAGTAAAAGTACATGATATTTAATATTGCATTTTCAGCAGATGTCCACATTACTGTGATGTGTGTTTGCTTAAAGGATGAAAGGAACTCCCCTCAGACCTCTGCTCTTATTTATGAACTCATCTAAAGTCACAGAGTCCAAGCAAGTGTTGCGTCATCCTCATAAAACATGACTCATCGTTTTCTCCTCACTTTCGGAGTAGCAGCTCTTACTCTGTAAACAACTGGTCTCCTGTGAACTGATGGGTTTTAGAAAAGGACTTCAGACACATGTGAGATATTGAAATTTCAATCAGGAGAGACGGTGTTGATAAGAACACATATTTATTGCCAGGAATACACAAATGAATGTGATGGAGTTTTGGCGATTAGGCCCCGTTGTGCAGGAGTATCATTCGGGAGGGGAGAACCGATCCGATGAAACCCCCCGGGGTCTAGACCCTGGTGGTGGTGAATGGATAGTTGGGGTCGGTCTGAAGGGGAGGGGCTTAGCTTGACCCTGGTGGTGAATGGATAGTTGGGGTCGGTCTGAAGGGGAGGGGCTTAGCTTGACCCTGGTGGTGGTGAATGGATAGTTGGGGTCGGTCTGAAGGGGAGGGGCTTAGCTTGACCCTGGTGGTGAATGGATAGTTGGGGTCGGTCTGAAGGGGAGGGGCTTAGCTTGACCCTGGTGGTGGTGAATGGATAGTTGGGGTCGGTCTGAAGGGGAGTGGCTTAGCTTGACCCTGGTGGTGGTGAATGGATGGTGGGGGTCGGTCTGAAGGGGAGTGGCTTAGCTTGACCCTGGTGGTGGTGAATGGATAGTTGGGGTCGGTCTGAAGGGGAGTGGCTTAGCTTGACCCTGGTGGTGGTGGATGGATGGTTGGGGTCGGTCTGAAGGGGAGTGGCTTAGCTTGACCCTGGTGGTGAATGGATGGTTGGGGTCGGTCTGAAGGGGAGTGGCTTAGCTTGACCCTGGTGGTGAATGGATGGTTAGGGTCGGTCTGAAGGGGAGTGGCTTAGCTTGACCCTGGTGGTGGTGAATGGATAGTAGGGGTCGGTCTGAAGGAGAGTGGCTTAGCTCGACCCTGGTGGTGGTGAATGGATGCTTGGGGTCGGTCTGAAGGGGAGTGGCTTAGCTTGACCCTGGTGGTGGTGAATGGATAGTTGGGGTCGGTCTGAAGGGGAGTGGCTTAGCTTGACCCTGGTGGTGGTGGATGGATGGTTGGGGTCGGTCTGAAGGGGAGTGGCTTAGCTTGACCCTGGTGGTGAATGGATGGTTGGGGTCGGTCTGAAGGGGAGTGGCTTAGCTTGACCCTGGTGGTGGTGAATGGATAGTTGGGGTCGGTCTGAAGGGGAGGGGCTTAGCTTGACCCTGGTGGTGGTGAATGGATAGTTGGGGTAGGTCTGAAGGGGAGGGGCTTAGCTTGACCCTGGATTCAGAGGGACAGGAGGTGAAAAGGGGTAGAGGAGGGTTGCGTCGAGTCACCTGAAATGACAGCTGTCAGAGGGGGGAGCAGATTTAAAAGGGTTAGCAGAGTGCTATGATAGGCTTGTGAGAATAGTGCGAGTTGATTGGTTAAGCTGGGGAGTGACGCCCCCGATCACTGATTGAGAGGAGAGAGAGTAGTGACATAGAAATAGTGAATGAATGAGGAAAGACGGTCTTCCTGGTTGAACTCGCGCTGAGCTCCATGCAGTCATGGGGAGAAAAACTATCAAGTAATTATCAGGTGTTTTTCAAGAAAGTTATAGTCTGAGTCTCTGTGTCTCTGATCTTGTTTATAAGATATATCGACATGACGCCCGCATACAAGATCGTATTCTAGATCATTAATTGAAAAGTGAATCCACTGAAAAATGATTGTCAACATATTTAAATGTCCTAAAAACAGATCATAAAACTGAAGGACTATCGAGCTGCAATTTATTTAATGAAGAAATTACGATGTTAAAGGTCCCATGTCATGGCCATTTCTACTGATCATAATTCCATTGTTGAGGTCTAGGCTTGTTGGAGCTCCTGCCCCCCCCCCCCTCCCTGTGAGCTCAGTGTGCTCTGATTGGTCGGGACGTTGCGAGGCTCGCTGCTCAATGATCTGGCTTACTGGTGTGGTTTCCGGGTCGGCGATACAGAGAGACACAGCCAAACTCATCCTGAGCACACACAAACACTCACAGCCGAAGTAAACACAATAAGTGTGGCTTGATATTGAGTAAGAAAAAGTTTTATAACGCTGTGAGAATGGGTCTGCGGAGAGCATTTCCCCACCATCCCAACTCGTCTATTACCAGCGTCCAGGGAGCTCTATGCAAGTCAATGGGGACTCCCTGTTAGTTGAAAACGCTAAAGGTCCTGGTGTGAGCTCTGCGGATTGGTCATGACGTCATGCGGTTCCCGAAAGAGAAATGTCCAACGAGGCGTTCTGGGGCAGCATAGACAGGTCTGCTCTGTGTTAGAGTTTTACTCTCTACAGGGTGCACTTTGAGGGGTTGTGACTCTGCAGACCGTTTACATGCAGAAGCTTCATAACACACAAGGGGACGGGTAATAACCGGAAAAGCATGACATGGGACCTTTAATTTAATTACGTTTCCAATCTATTTAAATCAGATAAATCATATAATTGAAATTTAATATTTGGAATTTTTACATTTGTAGAGAGGGGGGGAGGAGAGATGAGAGGAGAAGAGATGAGGGGAGAGGAGGAGAGGAGAGGAGGAGAGGAGAGGAGAGGAGAAGAGATGAGATGAGAGGAGAGGAGGAGAGGAGAGAGGAGAGGAGAGGAGAGAGGAGAGGAGAGAGAGGAGATGAGGGGAGGAGAGGAGAGGAGAGGAGGAGAGGAGAGGAGAGGAGGAGGAGAGGAGGAGGAGAGGAGAGATGAGAGGAGAGGAGAGAGACAGTGTCTCTACAGACAGACAGTAGTTGACAGATTTTATATTTTTCTCAGAAGATCCCGTTGGTGTTCTGTTTCCTGAGACTGACTGCAGCGTTTCCTCATTCCTGCAAAGACGACGCGTATCCACACGGAAACATCTGCTGTAGAAACTGTCCTGCAGGTGAGACACACACTCTCTCTCACACACACACACACACACTCACACTCTCAGACACACACACACTCTCAGACACACACACACACTGACACACACACACTCACACTGACACATGTACACACACACTCTCTCTCACACACACACACACACACTCACACTCTCAGACACACACACTCACACTCTCACACACACACACACACTGACACATGTACACACACTTTCTCTCACTCACACTCACACTCACACTTCACAATAAATAATAATAACTCTCCAGATGTACAGGTGTTTAAAGAGGTGTGTGTGTGTGTGTGTGTGTGTGTGTGTGCAGGTCAGCGTGTTGTCTCTCACTGCAGCACAGCAGGAGGTGAGAGTGTGTGTGAGGAGTGTCAGGACGGCACGTTCACCGAGCACGATAACGGACTAAAGCAGTGCTTCAAGTGTGCGCAGTGTCGCTCAGGTAACCACCAATCATTACTGACCGTGTTTTAAACATCTATTCAACTGGCATTTATTTAACCTGTACCTTTTAGTTTTTACGTCGAAGTCCTACTTTTATTTGGGGTTTTAACGTGGTGTCTCTGACGGGGTTTTGTCACGTTTATCTGTCAAAGTCTGTGTGTGTTTGAGCCCCGGTGCGAAATTCCTTATTCTACAAAACACAGGACAGTGAGCTGCTCTAAGATCGACCATTTCAGGCTTAATTAACAAATAAAGATCACTAAATTAAATGTGTATCCCCTACTGTATGCACTTGGCTGTCATCCCTAGTGTGTGGCTCGAAACTCCATTAAAGAAAGCGTCAATTAAAGCGTTTTTTTGAAGTAATTTAATGGAGAAAGTATAGATTATGACCTGTTAAACACTCTGAGCATCGAACCCATAAACATTCCTCCGTTTGTCATCTGGCAACCTACTTGTTTATATAAATAGTTATCACCGCAATAAAGCGTATTTAATGTAGTCTTAATGTACATTTAGCTTTGTGCATATGCTGATAAAACCTCTGTGTGGTGTTTCTGTCTCAGATCAGGCAGTGGTGCGGCGATGTTCTCACACTCAGGAAACTGAATGTCAGTGCACAGCGGGGATGTTCTGTTCTCCGGATGAAGCCTGTGAAGTGTGCAGAAGATGCTCCAGGTGAGTGTGTGCACACCTGGGTTCATTCAGAGGAAGGGAGGGGAAAATAATCTGTTTTGTGACGCTCTTTATTCCAATTGTACGATGCTTTAAAGAGGCGGTTTGCGGTGTATTCCCTCTCCTGGAGTTCTATAGGTTTTAGTGCATGTAAATGGTCTGCAAAGGCTCTGAGTTTCTCTTCTTATTTAGTTGTGCACCAGATGAAGAGACGGTGAGGAACTGCACGTCCACCACCAACACCGAGTGCAAGAAGAACGCTCCCAAATCTGACCCTGACTCAGGTAAAAAGATTCATATAAATCACACAAAACGTCTCCTGATAAATGCAGACTGTGATTTTACTCAGATGTGGAGTATGAAACATGATGATAATGGTTTTGATTTGTGTTTGTTTTTATCAGAAAAGGCCGCTTGGATTGTGCCACTGGTGGTGATGGCTGCTGCTCTGATAATAGCTGGGATAATAATTGCCATGTGGAGACGTCGTAGAGCAAAAGGTCGGTCAAAAAGTATTTCAATCAGGAGAGACTTAGTTCGTAGTTGATAACATATTTATTGCCGTATGCACATGGGCGTAATTTCCACTAGGGACAGGGGGGACATGTCCCCCCCACTTTTCAAAATCCCATTTGTGTCCCCCCCACTTTTTAAATGTGTTTATTATTATTTTTTTACGCAAGCGGTCATCGTCAAGGAGGAGCGTCTGTGTGTGTGTGGCACGAGCGCATCTTGTGAGAGAGAGATAGAAAGAGAGAGAGAGAGAGGGGGTTGTTGTTAGCATTTGGTGCTAGCTCGGAGCTAACGGAGATTAGTAGCTGTTTCAACAGTAAGGAGAGGGAGAGCTCTTTCCTGTCGGACTTTGAGAGAGAGACAGACAAATATATAGAGAGAGAGAGAGAGAGAGACAGAGAGACAGAGAGAGAGAGACGGAGAGAGAGACTGAGCGAGAGACTGAGAGAGTTACGTGGGTTGTTGTTAGCATCTGGTGCTAGCCCGGAGCTAACGGAGATTAGAAGCTGTTTCAACAATAAGGAGAGGGAGAGCTCTCTCCTGTCGTAAAACAGGTTCACATGGATAGGATACTAGATACGTGTGCACACTCATTATATACACTACACATTTTTCTTGGATTTGTTAACACTATAGTCCCTAATATATTTGTAGAAAGGCAGGAAATGGAATTAAATCGAGAAAATGTTTCATTGCGGAGGACCCCCTGTTTTGTGTCCCCCCCACTTCTCAAACCAAAGTTACACCCTTGCGTATGCACAATAACGTTTTGGAGATTAGACCCCATCATACTGTGATGAATTAAGGGGCAGGAGAAGCCGACTGGAAAAGAGAACCCCCCCCCCCCTAGACACTGGTGGTGGTGAAGTACTAAAGGGTTCTTCTGGGCCAGCCTGCCTTGGATCTGAAGAAGGTGGAGGAGGTGGAGGAGGGTTGCATCGATTCTCCTGAACGATGCTGTCAGGGGAGAGGAACGAGCAGATTTAAACGTTGGCCGGGTGTGCTGTGATTGGCTGTGGGGGATGAGACGCAACCGATTGGTTTAGCTGGGGGTATGTTGCGCCCTTGCTTATTGAGAGAAAGGGCGAGTGAGTGAGAGAGAATTGTGAATGAGAGCGTGGGAACCAGTCTTCCTGAAAGAACTTGCGCTGAGCTTCATTTCAATAATGAAGGGATACTACATGCTGCCTCGGAAATATTTGAAAATATCCGAAGTTTGACGGCTAAGTGACCACAGTTTTTTGGGCTACTTTTAGATTCATAATTCCAATATTTCTAAGAATAGGTTTTAGTTGAATTTCCGCCCTGCCATAATGACCAAATTCAGGTGAAGTTAAGACCTCGCAATGGAAGTTACAACATGCCTTTTTTTCATTTACAATACAATTTGGAGGGTTAGCTTGCTTTCTGAAGGCTAAAGAAACTTTAATGAATGTCATTTCTTTTAGCAGGTTATGACATGCCATCTTGAATACAAACACACTTATGTACCAATACTACTTTCTGAGTGCTGATGCATCCTTTAGTGTTAACAATGTCAGAAAATAGTAAAAATAAGTTAATAAAGTGCCTTTTTTCCCAGAACAGCCCTCGACAATGTATAAATATTCACTATATAAACGCAGAATTTCATAGGTGATTGATATTAAAGGGGACCTATCATGCAAAATGTCTTCTCCACATAAAGATGTGTCCCCGGTGTGTCGGGGAACTCGCGCAGCGTCAGAAAATAAAACCCTCTCTCTTTTCCTCCGTACCCAAATCTCTAAAAACGGGGGAACAACGGAGCTGATCCAGATTTGCGTCCGATATGACGTCATATCGGCGGCGGACCCACAGCACTATCAGAAACATTGCTATCAGAAACAATGCCCGACTGTTTTGGACGTAATATGGTCGGTGTTTACATTAGCATCGCTAACACTCAGAGCTAACCTGTACTGGAGAGCATGTGTGTGAAGAAGCAGGAAATAAAAAGGAACTCACCTTGTGGTATAACCGGCAAGAGAGAAAGCCTTTGAGCTCCATACTGTTTCAGAGATAATCCTTGATAATCCATGATATGGAGTTTCATCACGGCAGTATTTAGTTTAGACAGTAGCTGCCGGGTCCCGCATGAGCTCAGACCCCTCTTTTTTATTTGTTATCAATTTTTTAAAAGCTTTATACCCAAATCAGCACTTTTGAAACAGGAAGTGAAATAGAGGTATATGAGGCATGGCTAGAATGGGTGATCTGTTTGGTATTTTGAGCAAAACACTTCATAGACATGTTTTTTATATATTTGTATATATCTGAGACCTATGCTATTGTCTAAAAATAGCATGATAGGTGAGCTTTAACAGTTTGAACTGTTTCTTTGGTCGCTTATGGGAAACTCTAAAGTACTTATTGCTTAAACTTCTTCTGCTGAAATGTGAGCTTCATACATTAGTTGAACAAAGTCTATATTTACAGTTTTCATCAAGCCTTAGCTTCTTACTAGCGTTTGACACGCATGAGTGAAGCTTAAAAGCATGTGCCACGCAACCTCATAGTGTAGTTTAGCTAAACCAATAGAAAGGCATTCAGAGAAAGTTCTAGATGGAGCTTTTGATTGTCCACACGTTATTTTACCTGCAAGACTGATTGTTTGTTCACAGGGTGTTTCCCATAAAAACATATTGAGGAGTGATGAGCTGTGATTCATGACGTGTGTCATTGCAGAAGCGTTGGCACAGAAACCAGTTCAACCAGAATACTTTGAACTAGGGCTGTGCAATTAATCTTATTTTAATCTCGATTACGATTTTGGCTTGCAACGATTACAAAAACAACGTAATCAAAATAAAACGATTATTATTTTTTTATAAAAAAAAAAAAAATGTAGTTATTATTTTTTTTTTTTTTTGGGTTTTTCAGTTGAATTATACTTAAAGTTCAGGGTAATCAACTCTTAAAAACATACTGTTCACATTTTTGTTTCAATAAATGGATGTTTTCAAAGTAAATGGATAATCGTTTTTAATAATCGTGATATCAATTATTGACCAAAATAATCGTGATTAGGATTTTTGCCATAATCGCACAGCCCTACTTTGACAACTACGACATTAATCATCAGAGCTGATGGTCACACATCTGCACTGGAAACAATTCTGCTTCAAAATCAAGTAAAATAATAGTAAAAAAATGTGTTTTTTCTTGTAATAAGTTAAGAAATTAGCCAATAGAACAAGTGAAAATTAGCTTGGTAAGATCTCTTGAAATAAGAAGGGATATTTAGATAAATCAGATCTTGTAATTAGCTGCTAAAACTCATTAATTGAACTATATTTAACAAGAATCAGGAAATGTTGTGTTATAAAATACGGCAGAAATGCTCAAAGGTTTTCCGTGTTCAGATGTTAGTTTTGATTTTCCATTATCACACAGATGAGGTTTGGAGTGATCAATACGGAGACACAAAACTGATTATTTTCCGCTCGTTGAATGCAGTTTGTTTGATGTTTATTGCGATAGTTGTACAAACACAAAATATACTGACATGCCAACAATACACAGACATGGCTCCTACAATTACTTCTTAAGTTATCAGGTGTTATATCAAGTGTTAAGACATATTCTGACTCGAAATTAGACAAATATACATGGCAAGAGTTTTACAGTGTTTAACAGATGATGATGACACGTCAGGTCTAAAACCCGATCTGTCATCATCATTCAGACTAAGAAATGTAAACTGAACTGCTGTTGTCAGTGACGTGTGCAGATGTTGTTCAGTTCAGTTTGGGAAAGTCCACACGATCCGGCACAAATATCAGGTTTCAAAGCTGACGTACCTTATTCTATGCCTGATTTAGGTGTATGGATATTCTGTGTTCCAACTACCGATTTTAAGCATTAGCTGTATTACTTTGCATAGTGTTGCCAGCTTTATCAACCCATACTAGCCAAAGAAACAGATTTTAAGCTTTTTAATCAACTATTTTTAAGGTTAAATCGTTTTTCAGGCCAGACACTCACCATTCAGATTCCCAATATGTGAATCGGGGCTGCTGGTTTTGTGAGACAAAAAGCATCTCAACAATGTTTTTTATAATTACTCTCGGTGCCAGAAAGATACACACAGGACTGCATTGTAAGTTTAACCATTGTGTAATAAATAATAATAATAATAATAATTGAAAGTATGAGAGCTGCTTATTTGGCAATAGGTAGCTAACATTAGCTAAGAAGTTGGGTAGATAGCTTACTCTAGCTAGCTTGTTAGGTAAATAGCTAAAGTGAATTAGTTAACATTCCTTACCTATCTTGTTAAGTAAATAGCTAAAGTAAGCTAGCTAAGATGTTAGGTAGATAGCCTACTCTTGCTAGCTTGTTAAGTAAATAGCTAGTACGCTAGCTAGTTAATTAGGTAACATTCCTTGGCTAACTTGTTAGATAGATAGCTAACATTAGCTAGCAAACAAGTGAGTTAGATAGTTGAATTTAGCTGGTTTGTTAAGTGAAAAACTTACAGTGACTAGCTAGTTAGTTGTTTTACATTTCCTAGATCGATAGCTAATAGCTAATGTTTGCTAGCTAGCTAACTAGCACACTGACAGCTTGCTTTAATCTGGTCTCTTGGTTCATTTTTTTAAATAAATATCAACACTGTGTCTACCCTTCTGGCAGTGAGAGTGATTATAAACAACTGAGACACTACAGAGATATTGAAAATGTCCTTTAACGAGATTTGATCCTGCAGTCGCTAACAGAGGATGGATGCTGTAAAACCATCTGATCCCTTTAGCTGTGAAAGTCCTCTAATATATCGAATAGTTTACATGCTGCTAATGCTAAACTGGAAGAGCTAACATAAGCTTAGAACCATGGGCGTAGGAAGCATCCTCAATGTGGGTGGGACAATTTGACGGGGGGTGTGGGGCATGCTCCCCTCGGAGGCGGTGCAGCTTCCGAACCACAGCGTGATGCAGCTGCTGAGGATGCTCTCTGTGGCGCCTCGGTAAAAAGACAGCATGATGGGGGGTGATGCTCCGGCTCGCTTGAGCTTCCGGATGAAGTACAGGCGCTGCTGGGCTTTCCTCGCTAGTGCGGTGGTGTTGTTTTTCCAGGCAATGGGCAGGTGCATTCATATAGATCAGATCACCATAGTCCAGCACAGGTCAAAAGGTCACAGAGCCTTTTCCTGGCCTCAAGTGAGAAACAGGACTTGTTTCTGAAAAAGAAACCTAGCTTCCCCCTCAGCTTTCTAAGCAGACTATTGACCTGAGGTTTAAAAGAGAGACAATCATCCAGATACCAAGGTATTTATAACAGACAACCACTTCAAGTACTTTTCCTTGCGTAGTAACAATATCCAAAGTTGTCTCTGGTGTCTTTTTGGCTTTTGAAAACTGTTGATTCATCCTGTGGGGAAATTCACGTCACACCTCCCTGCTGGCAGATATCTGCGTTTAGACTCAGGGGAATTCTTTAAAGTTGCGTAATCTTTTTCCTCTCTTTCTTTCTGCAGAGTCTCAGAGCAGTGCACCTGACGGGCTGAAAGCTGGACAGGTGAGTCTCTTATCACCACGTACAATGAGTATTCATCAATTATTTACTTGTTGAGACCTATATGCCTAAGAATAGTATAATAGGAGACCTTTAACTAAAATAGGAACTATTCTTTGACTGAACTAAGACTTGGCCCCAGACCCTTTGACTGAACTAAGACTTGGCCCCAGACCCTTTGACTGAACTAAGTCTTGGCCCCAGACCCTTTGACTGAACTAAGACTTGGCCCCAGACCCTTTGACTGAACTAAGACTTGGCCCCAGACCCTTTGACTGAACTAAGACTTGGCCCCAGACCCTTTGACTGAACTAAGACTTGGCCCCAGACCCTTTGACTGAACTAAGACTTGGCCCCAGACCCTTATTAATCTAACAGTGATATATTATCTCCTGCAGCTTTTCAGCGTCAGCTCCTCTGATGGTCGCAGTAATGGAGACCGCCCCCTGCTGGTGAGATCCAGGTCCTGCAGGGAGGAGGAGGAGGAGCGTAGAGTCCTGTGTGAGAGCCTGAGCAGCTCCACCACTAACTCTCAGCTCAGCCTGACTGCTCTCCCCCCCGCTAACCCCCCGCCTCCCAGCAGCCGCCCGGCCCGCAAGAAGTCCAGCATGAGGGTGAGAGCAGCAGCTCCTTTCCTCACCTGATAACTCCTTTCCTCACCTGATAACTCCTTTCCTCACCTGATGACTCCTTTCCTCACCTGATGACTCCTTTCCTCACCTGATAACTCCCTTATGTCCTCCTTTCCTCACCTGATAACTCCTTTCCTCACCTGATAACTCCTTTCCTCACCTGATGACTCCTTTCCTCACCTGATAACTCCTTTCCTCACCTGATAACTCCCTTATGTCCTCCTTTCCTCACCTGATAACTCCCTTATGTCCTCCTTTCCTCACCTGATAACTCCTTTCCTCACCTGATAACTCCCTTATGTCCTCCTTTCCTCACCTGATAACTCCCTTATGTCCTCCTTTCCTCACCTGATAACTCCTTTCCTCACCTGATAACTCCTTTCCTCACCTGATAACTTCCTTGTGTCCTCGTTTCCTCACCTGATAACTCCCTTATTGTTATCTCTTCTACCTGCGTGTTCCCTAGCTTCTTCCCTTATCAGTGTGACTTCCTACTCATCTGCTAGCTTCCTTATGTCCTCCCTAGCTTCCTTATGTCCTCCCTACTCACCTGCTAGCTTCCTTATGTCCTCCCTACTCACCTGCTAGCTTCCTTATGTCCTCCCTAGCTTCCTTATGTCCTCCCTACTCACCTGCTAGCTTCCTTATGTCCTCCCTACTCACCTGCTAGCTTCCTTATGTCCTCCCTAGCTTCCTTATGACCTCCCTACTCACCTGATAGCTTCCTTATTCCTCCCTACTCACCTGCTAGCTTCCTTATGTCCTCCCTACTCACCTGCTAGCTTCCTTATGTCCTCCCTAGCTTCCTTTCCAAAGTGAAAAGGACAGCAGTCAAACTCCATGTACTCAAAGTATTGAAATACAGGGAAGACGTTTCCTGTCTCGAGTATAAATAGTTGTTATTACATGGCTTAGTTGAATACTCTATTCTGATTGGTCAATTTGGACATTTCAGAGGTTAATAGAGAGGTGCAGGGATGACGTATTTCTGTAGTTCGAGCCTGCAGGAAGCTGCTGGTTCCCTCGACAAAAAAGCAATGAGATTTCTCCAGAGGATTTAGGAAAATAGCTGTAAATAAGGTCTGTGGAAAACGAACCTGTTTGATAAATGCACGTTTTGTTCAGCCGGATAATCTCCACATGTCTACCCTACTTTTATAATCTTCGAATCATAAATATAATGGCCAGAAGCAAAATGCTAACGTGATGCTATAAAGGAACTACAGGCGAGTCCAGCAGCACGACTTCAACGTCACGCCAACTTCAGATCCATATTCAAACATACAGATTCTAAATGGTACGAGTTGAAGCGTTTGTTTGAACAGTCTGCAGGAGGCAGGGACTTGCTTTCAAGCAGAACAGGGCAGACTAACTTAGAGGAGTGTTTACGTGTTCGGCGTAATGACGTACAACGTCCTCCACGACTTCTGTAGTCCTATTCAGCCACTCGGTAACAACCATCGTTTTTCAGACACGTCAACTCTTCAGAAATCACCAGTGTGGTCACTGCTGATGGATTTAATGTCCTAGAACAAAACGTGATCCGTCTCTTCAATGTGTCTCGACCACAGACCTATATATTATTTTCCAACATCCTATGGAGAGATCCCGTTGGCTCTGAGACCAGGGAACAGGAAGTGGAGAAATGCTGACTCACTTCCTGGTTTTAGGACTCGTCACTGCAGAGTAATGAATATTGAGAGTCAAGTCGTTGGTGTGTTTATTGTGTGGCTGTATAGTAAGAGGGACAATGTGCAGCGAGGCGGTCGTTCTCTTTTAGATATTCACTCGCTGCTGGTTGACTGAATGAAGTATTGTGAAATATTCTCAGTGTGACGCATGCTCCTGCGTCACAGTTGTATTAGTGGGAAGGTGATGAGTCATGTTGTTATTGTGGCGGTTAAGCATTAACAAAAAAAGATGTTGTCCTGACTTCGTTTCCATTCAAACCTGAAAAACATGTTTGCATTTAATAATTTCTCTCTTTTTGTCTTTAAGGAAGAAGAGTCCTTTCCCAAGCTGGTTCCTAATAATGGTAAGGTGTTTGTATTCCCTTTGCTAAATCATTACACTTCTTCTTCTACTCAGAAACACATGACGAACATCACACTGGTATATCGTTTTTTGTTTTTTGTTTACATCTCCTTTCCTCACCTGATGACTCCTTTCCTCACCTGATAACTCCTTTCCTCCTTTCCTCACCTGATAACTCCTTTCCTCACCTGATGACTCCTTTCCTCACCTGATGACTCCTTTCCTCACCTGATAACTCCTTTCCTCACCTGATGACTCCTTTCCTCACCTGATAACTCCTTTCCTCACCTGATAACTCCTTTCCTCACCTGATAACTCCTTTCCTCACCTGATAACTCCTTTCCTCACCTGATGACTCCTTTCCTCACCTGATGACTCCTTTCCTCACCTGATAACTCCTTTCCTCACCTGATAACTCCTTTCCTCACCTCCTTTCCTCACCTGATAACTCCTTTCCTCACCTGATGACTCCTTTCCTCACCTCCTTTCCTCACCTGATAACTCCTTTCCTCACCGGATGACTCCTTTCCTCACCTGATAACTCCTTTCCTCACCTGATAACTCCTTTCCTCACCTGATAACTCCTTTCCTCACCGGATGACTCCTTTCCTCACCTGATAACTCCTTTCCTCACCTGATAACTCCTTTCCTCACCTGATAACTCCTTTCCTCACCTGATAACTCCTTTCCTCACCTGATAACTCTTTTCCTCACCTGATAACTCCTTTCCTCACCTGATGACTCCTTTCCTCACCTGATGACTCCTTTCCTCACCTGATGACTCCTTTCCTTACCTGATGACTCCTTTCCTCACCTGATAACTCCTTTCCTCACCTGATAACTCCTTTCCTCACCTGATAACTCCTTTCCTCACCTGATAACTCCTTTCCTCACCTGATGACTCCTTTCCTCACCTGATGACTCCTTTCCTCACCTGATAACTCCTTTCCTTACCTGATGACTCCTTTCCTCACCTGATAACTCCTTTCCTCACCTGATAACTCCTTTCCTCACCTGATAACTCCTTTCCTCACCTGATAACTCCTTTCCTCACCTGATAACTCAATCAAACTCTTCGAGGCGGTTTATCGTAACCAGCGACCTACACACGTTGGACAAAACGTTTTAAAGTACATTTCACATGCACAAAAGGTCTCAATATCCTTTCTCTTTGTTTGCAGGTGACGACTCTCTGAGGAAATGCTTCCAGTTTTTCGATGAGCTCGACTTCGCCTTCCACAGCAGATTCTTCCGTCACTTGGACGTTTCCGACAACGACATAAAAAGCAAAGAGCACCTGCACGAGGATAAGATCTACGTGCTGCTGAACATCTGGTTGGAGATGAAGGGCCGAGACGCCTCGTTGAACGACCTTCTGCGAGCCTTATTGGATCTAAACCAGAGGAGAACGGCGGAGAATATCAAGGACAAAGCTCTTCAATACGGTCATTACACCTGTCAGAGTTTAGAGGGAAATAACTGAGAACTTTGAGGGGAAAAAGTTGGACATTTGATGAAAAAACAAGTCAGAATTTTGATGAAAAACAAGTCAGAATTTTGATGAAAAACAAGTCAGAATTTTGATGAAAAAACAAGTCAGAATTTGTGATAAAAAAACAAGTCAGAATTTTGAAGAAAGTCAGCATTTTGTGGGAAAAGTCAGAATTTTGTGGGAAAAGTCAGAATTTTGTGGAAAAAGTCAGAACTTTGATCAAAAAACAAGTCAGAATTTTGATGGAAAATAAGTATTATGAGGAAAAATTAAGAATGTTTGAGAATTTCAATTTTTTTTAACGACTTTTTAGGGATTACAATAAGACTTTTTGAGGAAAGAAATGTAAGAATTTTGAGGGTAAAAAATGTAAAAATGTTGAGGGTAAAACATTAAGAATTTTGAGGAAAAAGTCCAGAGTCTTATGGCGGTGTTTTGAGATCTTTTTGCATCCCGCCCGATTTGCACCTCAAAGAACGCTCATATAACGTTTGGAGGAATAATCCAGAAAAAGAAGAAACACATCCTCAGTGTGTGTGTTACTGTACGGTGTGAAATCAGACTTATTTACACGCCTGTTTCACCACACACACACACACACACACACACTGCTAAATCACAGCTTTTACTCTGTGGTTTTTCGTGTGACTGAAAGTAATTTATTTTCTCTCCACTCCTCAACAAGTGTGGGATATTTATTATAAAAAGTATTGGCTGTTTGAGTATTGCAAATAAGCCCTGAATCAAAAAAAAAAAAGTGTTTTTTTGATGATCCTGAACATGTGTTTATTTATTTGTTTGTCATTGAAATGCAAATGTGTACTGTGTGAGCAAAGGAACACACGTTGAACAAAATGCCCTGAAAAGCAGATTACTACGTGAGCACGTGAATGTAATAATGTTTCAGTTTATTTGTATTTATCTGCATCTATTTCGGGTGTGTTATCACAGTCAAACATGTTGAAAGTTTACAAAAAACCCTAAAAAAAGTGCCTTTTCTACGTGTTACATCATTTATATTTATACTTTTCTACATGTCTGTTGCTTATCTTCATTTTCATGTTTTATTTTTTAACTGCAGATAAGTTAACAAGATAAATTCAACTTTAAAGGCCTTTTAAATTTAGTAATTGTCCTTTAAAGTATTTATATTTGTACTGAATTGTACGTGCGTTTGTGTAATTTCATCTCGACACTACATGTACATGTGTTTGAATATTTATAATGTGCATTGTGCCTTTTCCAAATAAAGAGAATAAGATGAAGAACTGGAGGATCTTTATTTGTGTCGTACATCATAAAGGTTTAATAAGAGGTTTCTTTTTCAGAAACAAGTCCTGTTTCTCGCTTGAGGCCAGGAAGAGGCTCTGTGACCTTTTGACCTGTGCTGGACTATGGTGATCTGATCTATATGAATGCACCTGCTCATTGCCTGCTCAAGTTAGATGCTGCCTATCACAGTGTTGATGTTACTAACTAAAGCACTTACTCATCACTGTACCCTGTATGCCAGGGCAGGTCTGCCTTCACTAACTGTACGGAGACTCAGGGTGTTTCTCAATCGCGAGTAAAGCTGCTTCAGAGCCACTATTTCAAGCATGCTACGTCATCGAGTGCCGCCGAAGTACTGTTCCAATCTCCAGCATACTTGGAAATCTACCGAGCCCGGCGTACTCCGTTTGGAGAAATATCGAGGCTGCACATGTGTAGACTTCGCGGTCTTAAAATCCCCACAATGCTTTGCGCACGGACCAATTTCCCCAAATCTGTGGCGGAAGATGTAAGAGGCGGGGCCTCTCATATGACGCACACCTGCACACTTGCTAGCCTGTTCCACTCTTTGTTTTCCGAATGTCAGGAAGTATTCTTGACTCGCTTCTGAAGCAAGATGCTTGGCAGACATGTGCTACCAAGCAAGCGTACTCTACATTGAGAAACACCCAGTGTGTCACTGGCACATTTTTATATACAAAGCCATGCTGGGTAAACTACCACCTTATATCTGCTCACTGATTTCACAGAGAGTGGCAAGTAGCTATTGCCTGAGATCCCAGGTGCTAATGCTAATGCTAATGCTAATGCTAATGATGCGCCGGTGAAGATGGCCGCATCGTCTTCGTGCTCCTCTCCAACTTTGCCCATTTTCGTATTTTGTACATATTTCTTTTACTTTTGCCGTTTTACTTTTAACATGGTTCGCAACATGCTAGCCGACCGCACCTACTCTGCCATACAATATAGCAGAGAGGAACTTCTCCAATTGCGAAACTTCGTGGACAATATTAACCCTCCGACAGACAATGGAGATTCACCATGGCTACCTGTTGCTGTTCTACCTGAGAGACGCAAGAAGAAGACAAAGCGAGGATGCCGGGCCGGGTTGCTGGTCAGACTAAGAAAACGTGAGAATCGGCCCCCTCTTCCGAGTATTCTTCTGGCTAATGTTCAATCCATTGAAAATAAGCTAGATGAACTCAGAAGCCGGATTGCTTTTCAACGGGACATTAAGAACTGTAACGTGTTAATTCTCACTGAGACTTGGCTCAACCCCGCTATCCCGGACTCCGCTATTGTCCCTGACGGATTCTCTATTTTTCGTCAGGACCGGACTGCAAACTCGGGGAAAAGTAAGGGAGGCGGTGTGTGTGTAATGACTAACAACAACTGGTGCTCAGATGTGAAGATTATTTCATCGGACTGTTCCGCACAGCTAGAGCACCTCATGATCTCATGTCGGGCCTTCCATCTGCCGAGGGAATTCACATCTGTTGTGATAACAGCAGTGTATATCCCGCCGCAGCCACTCGCCGACAACAACACGGCACTCGATCAGCTGTTTGGGTTTATTGATAAAACCGAGACTTCACGGCCAGATGCGGCGTTCGTTGTGGCCGGAGATTTCAACACCGCCAACATGAAGAAGGTTTTGCCAAAATATTACCAACACATCAACTTCCCGACGCGCGGGGGAAACATACTGGACCATGTTTATTCCCCTTTCCGGAATGGATATAAGGCTCTCCCTCGCCCTCCCTTCGGCAAATCAGACCATATCTCACTACTGTTGTTGCCTGCTTACAAGCAGAAACTTAAAAGGGACAGACCGATAACAAGGACAGTACAACGATGGAGCGAGGAGTCAGATTCAGCACTGCAGGATTGCTTTGCATCTACGGATTGGAGTGTGTTTGAGGACAATAACATCAACACACACACGGACACTGTCATCTGCTACATTGGGAAATGCATCGATGACGTGGTACCGAAGGTTTCTGTACGGACATTCCCAAATCAAAAGCCCTGGGTAAACGGTGAGGTGCGCGGCAAACTGAAAGCGCGCACTCTCGCGCACACAGCGGGAGATTTGGAGGAGTACAGGAAGTCTAGGTATGATCTCCGGAGAGCAATAAAAAATGCAAAGAGACAGTACAAAGAGAAGGTGGAATCTGACTTCAAAGGCTGTAACACTAGGAATATGTGGGCGGGACTAAGGACAATGACTGACTACAAAGGAGCAGCGGGGGGTGCTGCGGGAGTGTCTGCGTGCGCATCTCTCCCAGATGAGCTAAATAGTTTTTTTGCACGCTTTGAGAGCAGCCAGGCTGTGGAGGTACAGAGGGACCAGGAGCTACACTGCCCTTTTGTTTTAAATAGGGCAGATGTGTGTAAATCCTTTAAAAGGGTTAACCCACACAAGGCTCCTGGACCTGATGGCATCCCTGGCCGTGTTCTCAGGGTGTGTGCAGTTCAGCTGGCAGAGGTGTTCACAGACATCTTCAACAGGTCCCTGCTGCAGTCTGTAGTCCCCACATGTCTTAAACACTCCACCATCATTCCTGTCCCCAAAAAGACAATCATCACCTGCCCCAACGACTACCGCCCAGTAGCACTCACCTCCATCATAATGAAGTGCTTTGAGCGGTTAGTCAAATTATTCATCACCTCCTCCCTCCCTGAATCTCTGGACCCCCTGCAGTTTGCCTACAGAGCAAACAGGTCCACAGACGACGCCATAGCCCTCACCCTCCACACTGCCCTCTCACACCTGGACCCGAAGAACAGGAACACATATGTGAGAATGCTGTTCATTGACTACAGTTCAGCATTCAACACCATTGTGCCCTCCAAGCTGGCCATCAAGCTCAGAGACCTCGGGCTCAACAGCGCCCTCTGCGACTGGATCCTGAACTTCCTGACGGGCAGACCCCAGGCAGTGCGGGTGGGAAACATCACATCCTCCACCCTGATTCTTAACACCGGTGCCCCTCAAGGCTGCGTGCTCAGCCCTCTCCTCTACTCCCTGTTCACCCACGACTGCGTGGCCACACACAGCTCCAACACCATCGTGAAGTTTGCTGATGACACGACCGTCATCGGCCAGATCACAGACGATGACGAGACGGCATACAGAGAGGAGGTCGAAAACCTGACATCTTGGTGCCAGGAGAACAACCTCCATCTCAACATCAGCAAAACAAAGGAGCTGATTGTGGATTACAGGAAGCAGCAGGGAGAGGGACACGCCCCCATCGCCATCAATGGGACTACGGTGGAGAGAGTCAAAAGCTTCAGGTTCCTTGGGGTCCACATCACTGAGGACCTGACATGGTCTCTTCACACCACCACCATCACCAAGAAAGCTCGACAGCGGCTCTTCTTCCTCCGCAGGCTGAGGAGGTTCAAAATGGATTCCAGGATACTCTGCAACTTCTACAGGTGCACGATAGAGAGTATCCTCACTGGCAGCATGACGGCCTGGTACGGCAGCTGCACCGACCTCGATCGTAAGGCTTTACAGAGGGTGGTGAAAACTGCACAGCACATCACCAGGACGGAGTTGCCATCCATGGAGGACCTTTACTCCCAGCGGCTCAGGAAGAAATCACTACGGATTATCAAAGACCCCCATCACCCCAGCCACAAACTGTTCTTTCTGTTGCCGTCTGGCAGACGTTACCGCAGCATCCGGGCAAGGACAAGAAGATTCGGAGACAGTTTCTTCCCGCGGGCAGTGAGACTGTTAAACAATTGAACTGTTGAAACAACATCAAACATTCAACTGCTACTCAGTAGTATGTATCTAATACCTAATATATATATATCATTCCAATAACTTGTATATAGACTCATACTGCACTATTCCACATCATAACTTTATTTCATTTTTATAACTATTATTATTTTTGTATTGCTCTTGCTCTTATTGTTATTATGTTATGTTATTATGTTGCATTGTTGGAGAAGCCTGTGACATAAGATTTTCAACTGCATAATTACTCTGTAGCTATGTCAGATTGACAATAAAGAACCTTGAAGGATGTGTTTTTATTACATGTGCCAAGTGCTAGGACTGATTTAGGTACTAAAGCTTTTATGTGCGCTGCTCCTCTAGCTTGGAACTTTCTGCGAAACAAATTGAAACTGAGCATTTTGGTTCCCTTGCATCATTTTAAAGCGCGAATAGATTAAATGTTATTAGATATCTGTCATTGTGAATAGGGTGTAATTTGTACCCCTGTAATTATGTTGTATGATGTCCTTTTTGTTTTCTGTTGTTTACATGTGTGTAACCAATGTGTGGCAGGTCTCCCTTTAAAAATAGATCGTTGATCTCAATGGGATTTCACCTGGTTAAATAAAGGCTACAAACAAACAAACAATAAAGGTTTTTATTTTATGTTAGTGCTAGAAAATAATATATAGCCTACTACGTTTTTCCACGTGAAAAACAAATCATGATCTCTTTCATTTGATTTAGGATTTCATTCAAATTTATAGCATTTGTGGTTTTACTCAAGTACAAGACCTGAGTCCTTCTCCCACCGTCAGTCATGTTTTTAACTTCACAAATACATCTAATTCTTATGGTTTTTATGTGTTTAATTACTTTACAAATTAAGCTTTTCACACACAAAATCTGTCATATTATTCATATCACATCATATCAATGAAATGTGAAATATGACCAGAAATCCAAAGTGGAAATTAAAGAAAATCCTCAAGAAAAATACATTAAAAAGGGAACATTTTACCTCTGAATTGTCTGTAAGGCAGCGTTATTATTGCCTCGTGGTGACCACAAAACCATTCAACATGTTTCAGGAGATTTAACGCCATTTCATCTGACAACTAGAAAATGCGTGCGAATGCTGTAAACTGTGAACATTTGTGGCTGAATTTAGCTGAAAATGCAGAAAAAGCTGAATATGTTATTAGCTGAATGGTAGCTGCTTTTAGCTACAAAAATGCAGAAAAAGCTTAATATTTA